ACAAAAGATAAACTGTAGTTCTAATCTGAATGTGATGAATATCAGCATTTAACAACTGAGATTTTTACTCCATCCATCTCCTCAAATGCTTTATATTATCAAACTTACTGTTCTGAAGCATGTACTCCATGTCATCAAGCCACTCCTGAACCATCTTTTTGACAAGTATATGGAGTGATCACTAAATATTTCTGAGCACAAGGAAAAAATTTCCAGTTCTTCAGTCATTTCCAAATTTCTTTGCATGTCTCATATGCACCTGCTCAAACACATGAACATTTAGTTGAACTGGTTGAGTGAGACAGTGTCACTGTCTCAAACAGGATTGTGCCAGGATAAATTGCAGAGGAAATGTATTCCTGATAAATTCATATTTTATTTCTGATTAGCATGTATGTCAACCTTATTAGCTTCCTCACCCAATTCTTAGCTTTCTCACTCTACCTTACATTCAGAATATTGTCCATTAGAACCTGTTAAATCAAGCATAGCCATGATCGAATCCTGCATTCTTTGCAAAAAAATAGCAAACCTCTCCTGGAGTTCTATGGAATCATGATTAAGCACTTAGGCTTTTCAGGGCTCTGACATCTTATTATTTGATATCTGGCCTTCTGTCATCCGCCATTGTTTTCAGTATTATTATATTGCTATGTTCCTTTCAACAAGAGATTGATGCTTATTATTAACAGTCCCCCTGTTGATGCTTTGTTCAGATTCCAAACTAATGCATTTTTATATGAGCTTCTATCATGGATTTAAAAGAATGCATATAAGAATATAATCTTCTGTTTTTAAATTACAATCCTTACATACCTCTTGCTAGATTCTTTTCCCTTGTGCAAAAAGTATTGAATGTGATTTCCAGTAATGTAATCTGATTTTCTCATGCACAGTGTTAATGAGTATGTCTATTCTTAGTACATGGTCATAAATTACTATCATCTACAAATTTCTTTTTTCTCCTTTGCCTGTTTTCATCTTTTCAATTAGCATAGGATTGTTATTAAAAAAATAGAAAGTTGAAGAAGGGCTTCTTTTATTGTTAGCATTTTTCACTATTATTAAATTCTGATTAATCTGTTTTCTTGCTGATTGACTAGCCCATGCTGTCCTTTTGTACTTACTCATATGAAATTGAGCACATTTCTTTTTCTCTGGCACACCAACAGTAGAATATGGCCATATAGTTAGACATTTTTTTCTACATGTTCTGACACGATGATACAAATTTGAAATACTACACGCATATACATCATTCTGCATTATGTATACATATACATGCTCACAATTCTGAAATGGAAAAATATGCTTTAGAAAATCAACAGCCAGGGCAATATCAGTTTGGATTGCCAGGGCAGCAGTTATTAACTCACCACAAATAATCTGTACAGAACACTCAGCTATAATTGGTAATTAACTTCTTACTTGGATTGCTTTCATTGTACCTACCTGCTATGCTATCTTCTGCAGGTCTTTAACTTGAAAGGTGTAGCAAGGGCACTGGCATGACAGAAATTGGGCTCAGGACCTTCATCTATAAACTGTTTGACTCAGGTAAGGTTGCTTATTCTGTAGCACCTAGTACAGTGAGATCCAAACTTAGTGCAACATTTACCTGTGCTTTAGTATAAACAATAAAATAACATTTTACTGTCTAAGCAGGTAAAACATGCATCATCAAGAATTATTCTTACTGTATCTGTCACACAGTGATGCACATGTGGAATGGCTCTGTTCTCTATGACACACACACAAAAAACCCAAATCAAAAAAAGCAAAATAAAAAACCACAACGCCCCAAACAGCAGTTTAGAGATTTAAATGTTTTCCATAACTGTAAATATGATTACTTAAAAATCCTTCTAGATACTTCCAGATTTCATTTTTATATTTTGTGTCATCGTTTTTATATTTTAGTTTATTATGCAGCTGTAATGTATATTAGCAAATATGATTTTTTGGTTTATTATAACATAATAAAATCTTGCATCTCAGATATTTGCTTCATTTTAACCTCATTTTTTATACATAAGAGGTTTCTTTAGACCTCGGTAGAAAAAAAAAATATGATTTATCTGTGCTCCTGTTAAAGATTGGCAGTATTACTCTAAAGTATTTATTAAAAGTAAATTCCTCTATATCTCATTTTCCAGGGCACAGTGAGGACTTCCTGAATACAAGGTTTTCTCTGATAGCTTAATCTGTTGATTGACACAGTGACACTCTTTGCTCCTTTCACAGAATTGAGCAGTAGGTTTTACCATGGAGCAGCAAACCTGACTTTTGGGAGGGACCAGGCTGGGGGAGAGAGCAAGGAAGGGCAGTATCCACCCAGATAGGGCCATAGGGGCTATATACTCATGATGTTAAAGCTCTCTCTCTTTTTCAGGCTTATCTATTGTTGTGGGAGAGAGAGAGAGACAGAGAGAGATTTGATTACACAAGTACAGACAGAAGCTAGTACAAAATTTCATGGTGAAATGACTCAAAGGAAACAAAACTCATCATCAATTAGTGATCGGTAAAGGGCCTCAAAATGCCTACTTCCTATGTGTTCAGGATACGTACTCATATCGACATATGAATATCTGAAGCTTTGAGACCCTCCTCCTGGAAAGGAGAATCATGATAATTTAATAATTAAGAAAAAAAAAAAAAGAAAAAGAAGAAAAAAGGAAATGCAATGCAAGATCAGTATCCTTTCCTGCCTGGACATTTCCCATCTTTGTTAACAAAAAATAAATTAATTAAAAAATATGCTAGCAGATGATAATTTAGTAGCAAATTCATTGTCATGGTCACAGTAATGCTACACTGCCTATTCTTCTACAAGATGTGTGTGTGTGTGTGTGTGTTGCACAGCGACAGACTTCGTGCCAAATTGAGAAATGTTAAATTTAGCTTGCAGTAAATAGCATGTCTAGCTAATACAGCTGGAACCCATCTTGGAAAAGAAAAAAGCCCACAAATCCCCATTATGCATGAAAATGAAATATCTGAATAGTTTTAACCCTTCCTGCATATTAACTACCGTGGTTTGGGTTCAGTAGCTATATATATATATATAAATATATATATAAATATAAATATATATATATATATATATATGCTTTTCAGGTGTATTTGGAAGGAGAGTACCTCCTGGAGAGGGCTGTGAAATAACCAACTAATCAATCCGAACGATCCGAGGCCGCTGTCCGCGGTGCTGAAGGTTGGCGGCCGCGGGCGCGCGCAGGGGCGGGGCGCGGCGGCGGAGGGGGCGCGGCGGGCGCGCTCCCGCCGGGCTCGGAACCGCGCAGGCGCCGCCGCCGCCGCCGCCTCGCCCGGTGCGCCGCCCGCCCGTTGAGTGCGAGGGAGCGCGGGCGAGCGCGTGCCAGGGCAGCGCCGGGCCGGGCCGGGCGGCGGGAGCGCAGCGGGCACTGCCGGCACCTCCATCCCCTCCATCCCGCTTAGCGCCGGAGCCAGCAGCAGCACCGGAGCGGCGGCGGCGGCAGCTCGTACAAGCGGCTTCTCCTGCATCTGCCCCGGGGCTCTTTTCGTTCCTTCCCCTCCCGCGGCTGGCTTGCTCCCTCCGGCCGCTCGCCCGGAGCGCACGGGATCTAATTTGCTGACGAGCGCGCTCCGCGGAGGAGAAGCAGGAGGAAGAAGAAAAGGCTATTTCCGTGGCTTTGTGGATGCTCTACTTTTCCTGGAAATGCAAAAGATTATGCATATTTCTGTCTTCCTGGCTCCTGTGTTGTGGGGACTGATCTGGGGGGTCAATTCTAACAGCATACAGATCGGTAGGTGCCCGCATGCGGGGGGGGACCCCTCCTGCCAGCGGATCTCCCGATCCCTCATCCCCACCAGTGTCACTCGGGCGTTCCTGTCATGTCGCCGCGTACCCAGTCCCACCGCGGTGCCCGCCAGGCGCCAGCGAGGTCCCCTCGCCTTCCCCCGGCCTCACCGCCCGGACCCCGCGCCCCCAGGCGCGGGTCGGATCCGCCGCCGGGGCCGCTCCGGCAGCGGCGCCCACCGGCGCTCAGCCCAGCCCAGCCCCGCGCCGGGCACAGACGGGGCACCCGCGCCGCTCCGCCGGGGCCCCCGCCCGCCTGACGCGTGTGTGTTTCCCTGCAGGGGGGCTGTTCCCGAGGGGCGCCGATCAGGAGTACAGCGCGTTTCGGGTAGGGATGGTTCAGTTTTCCACCTCGGAGTTCAGGCTGACTCCCCACATCGACAACCTGGAGGTGGCCAACAGCTTCGCCGTAACCAACGCCTGTGAGTAGCGGGCACCGCCAGCCTGCCGTGGCGGCGGGGGCGGGGCGGCTGCGGGCGGCGCGGCGAGGGTGGGTGTGTGGGTGTGTATGCGGGATGCAGGCAGTGTGCGGGGGTGTGTGTGTGTGTGCGGCGGTGCGGTGCCGGGGACGTGCGGTGCCGGGGGTAGCTGCACCGCCGCCGGGCGGGTGCGGGAGAGCCCGGCCCCGTGGGAACGGGGCGCGGGCTCTCCGTGCCCCCCCCCCCAGCCCTCCGGGAGGTGTAAAATGGTTCCCGGCGGCTCTCCCCGCACATTACATAAGACTGCGCGGCCCCGGGGCCGCCCGCAGCGCTCCCCCGCCGCCCCGGGGCTGCCCGCGGGGGATGCGGAGCCACCCTGTTACCGGCGCGAGCCGGGCCGCTGCCCCCTCCCGACAGCAGCCGAGGGGGTGCGGTGCGGGCGGCTGAGGGGCGATCAGCCATTTTACGCCGCACGGTGCTGCGGGCTCCATCTCTCCATCTCGCCGCCCGCTCACCCCCGCCTGGTGCGCTCGTGGGAGGCCCCGCTGTCCGCCCGCTCGGCCTCGCCAGGAGCCCGCCACCCCCGCGGCTCTGCCGGCGGGTCTGTGCCCCGGCTCCGCCCCCGGCGAGGCCGCACGCGTGCCGCGGGCGCGGGGCACATGCGTTGCTCGGCAGGCGATGGGGAAGGCGGGGCGGGGCAGCGCGGTCGTGGTAGCGCGAAGACAGGAGACCTCGGGAGGGGCGGCGGGTCCCGCAGCGATGTTCGCTGCTGCCTCCCGTCGCTCGACGGCTGCCCGCGCCCGCGGCCTGGCGGGTGCCGTGTGACCTCGCGGCGGGGCTGGCCAGGCGTGCGGGGAGGGGCAGCGAGGGGCTGCGGGCGCTGCCCGTGCCGGTGGTGAGAGCGGTGAGCTGAGGCCAGCGTTCCCAGGGCGAGGAGGGGCGCCCGGCATCCCCCCGCTGCCCTCCCTGCCACACGTGTCCGTTTCAAGCGAAACCGGGGTCCCTACAGCGACGAGCGCAGCGAGGAGTGGGGAGCCCGCTTGGTGCCGTGCCGGCCGCTCCTGCCCAGCCGCGGCTCATCGGCCGCCCATGCTGCGCTCCCCTGAGGCATTTTCCCTTGCCTCCTGGGAAAAAAGATGTAAGGGACACTGAATCTGGGGGCTGTCAGCGGGGCAATTTTCTTCTATTGGAGACAATTTTTTCCCCCCTCTCTTCCCCGATTCAGCTACGTTATGGTAGGTGCGGTGGTGCTGAAAAGGGGCGGCTCAGCACAGACGCTGGAATAGGTGGTACAAGAGGTCTATGCAAGGAGCTTTCATTGGGATGTGTGAGGATAGGAGAATATAGCATACATAGCTGAAGGCAGAAAAGGTCAGACCATGTAATCAGCCACAGTAATGCTACATTGTTAATCTTCGCAAACTGCTTGGACAGTTCTCGATTTCTTAGGTAGGGGTGGTTTACATCAACTAGAACTGCATGTGGTCCCTATTTGCAGATTATGTTACTGGGCCTGTTCGTGAAGTAAGTGTAGCAATCTAGATGGAATTCTGCAAAAATGTTATGGGTTTTTCTGTGTTCCTCAATTCTTTGAAGACAATGAAATCCTGAAAATTGTGCCAAATGCAGATTTTTTTTTCTACTAGTATTAGAGACAAGCACTGCCACCTTGTCTTTGAGAAGGTCAAGGTTGCATATTTTTTTGTCCAAGCCTGTCAAGTTTTCTTAATCAGCATTTGTGTGCTTGCATTAGCCTTTGTCTTGTCTTTGGAGAACTCTTTACAATACTCAGATAATATGTGTAGGCTGTAGACTGCAGTGATGGACTTTGAAACTTCCAGCAGAAGGGAGATACTGTCCACGTTTTGGATTTCCCTTTGTCTGAACCTTATCCAAGGCTTCAGTTTTCAAGCAGTTTGAAGAGCAACAAATTAAGATGTGAATATGTACTTGTGGTTTTTGTCACCTTGGTCACCACTGGTGGTTTAGTCATTTTGTGCCTTGGATTTAATTGACTAGTGAAGCATATGCTAAAAATATGTATGGTATCTCCTCATTTACCTTCCCAAGAGGATTTTATTGGAGAACAAGGACTTCTGAAGACAAATATTTGCTGTACAAGTAGAATTAGGAGTTGATTGCAGAGCACTGCATTCACAAATGGTTAAGAAGGATCCATCTTTTTTTGTCCCCTTTATGCTTATTCTCATTTGAAATTCTAAACATTTTGCAGGTTGGTTTTGTTAGGGTTTTTTGGGGGGGAGAGGTTTGGTTTGTTTGGGGTTTTTTTTGTTCTTTTTTCTTTTAGTATGCAAAGAATCTGTGTCCAAAACCAGCACTATCAAACAATGCAGGTGTAAAGGAAGGTCACAGAAATGTAGGATAATACGAAATGGAAAATGCTTCAGTATTTACCCAGGTATTTCACTCTAGCAAGGTGATTTTCCTTCACAAAAATGTAGTGGCAGGCTTATACCATAATAGAAGTGATGACCTTTCTCTGCCCCAAATCGACCACCGAATTATTTTGGCTCTTGATTTAAGCCCCTGAGCTAGCCCTGTTTCAGGCTGCAGAAGCTCAGGATGATGGTGTGGGAGAGGCAGGATGCAGCCCTGCACCCCAGATGGGGTAACTGCTGGTCCCAACCTGGCACCTGCAGTGCCTAGGGCGCCACTGTGCCACCCCGCTGGGGCTCAGCCTTCCTCCCTCCCGCCCACAGTAGCCTCAGAGAAACAGCATACAACTCTATCTGCTTTAAGAACAAACAACCCAAAAACCCACTGTAAAACTACATGAAGGACTCTTCAAACTAATTATCAGTGCTTGCTCAGAGTTTGTTGATGGACCAACAGTTTTTAGATGAACTAGTATTGCTGGTACTACTTTTAAGTTAGGTTCCTAAACTTAAAAAAGGAGGAGATGATGGTCATGTACCCCTGAGGAATGTTTGAAACAGTAAGACTACGCAGTCACTTAAAGGTGGCCAGAAAACGGGTGTAGCAGAGGAGTGGACACGCAGCGAGTAGGTAGCCTAACCCCGGTGTGGGAATTATGAATACTCTCTCCCTGTCGAGTGGATTTATCTCCCGCTTGATAGTATCTCACATTAAAATGTGGCGCTCACGTTAAAATGTGGCACTCATGTCACGAGCTATCAATGCCTTTTACCCACGGGATGGAAACGCTGTGTACAGTCTGACAGCAGGTTGGGAGGTAGTGCTGTCGACTTAAGGGACTCCCACAGGATGGGGCATACACCTCCTTGCCAGTCAGGGGCAAGCCTGGGTCGATCTTTGTGCGCTGCAACCATAAGACTCCGTGCTGGTTGCAACCCAGGGGACGTAGAGTGGGTGGAGACACATGTCAATACCAGACCCTGATATGGGTGACAGTTGGCTGTACCCCTTTTCATAACGAATTTTTAGTGGGAATTTAATATGTGCACCGTAACATTAATTTGGGGCAAAACTACCGATTTTGACCAAGGTTTCACTTAAGCCAGAAAAGAAACATATATAAATTATATGTGTTCAAAAAATAGCCACAACAAATAGTCGCTTTAGTTTGTTGGACTGTTGCAACTCTTGCAAAGCTGTGTCTACAGGTCATCGGGAATAGCTGTTGGAATCTAATTGCAGTTTGACACTTCACATGTCAGTGTCACTAGGAGGCTTAATGGTTTTGACTGAGAGGTGGTACAGGTGTTTTTCGGACTAATGGCACAATTAAGAGCAATGTTCACTGCCATGACTGCTGTTTCACCCTTCAAGAGAAAGGGGCTAGGCTTAGCCCTGGTTGACAATTCTTGGTAATTCAGGGAGTTACAGTCTAGGTGATAAAGGCAAATGTTAACAAAGGGGTTCACTCTAACAGAATCTCTTTGGCTTTAACAGGTGGAGCAAAGGTACAGCACTGGAGGGAATTCATAGGGCAGTACTGGAAGATGTCCAAACCACTGGACTTTGTCCTTCATTGCAGTGTGATTGAGTCTTAGTATAATTGGAGAAGTGCTGACTGTCAGCAACATCAAATTTTTAAAAAATTCTTAATTCTGTCAAAACAAGAAAGGAGGAAACTGGTGAAGATGAAATCCTTTGGACTTAAATCCGCCTACTCAACAACTACAGGGGTAGTTATATTGTGTACTCACATATTTTAGCACTGAAAGGATATTGGGAGTCGCCTAAAGAGATGTTTCCTATGGAGTACTATAAAACTGCCATAAGTGTAACAAGTTTTTCGTACAGTAGTTTCAGCACAGATGTAATCTATGTACAATCTTGGATGTTTAATCCTGCTGGCTCAAGAGCCAGTGTTGAGCTTTCCTGTTTTAAATCAAGTCTTACAGCTCTGCAGGGATCACTGCACCATGACATTGTGACAAGGGGATGCTGATTCATGCATAAACCTTAGATCCTTTCATTATATCTTCAACCAGCAGCTTTGAAAACCTATGAATATCTAGCATGTTGCAACTTGAGAGTTATGGCAAAGGTTTCCCCAGCCATTTTGGAATATAATGCTATAGCTTTCATTCTTGAATTGAATAGCATTCAGCACTCTGCTGGCAAAATGCTTAAAGAATAATGAAAAAAAAATCCTTTAGCATTAAGGATGGGAGAAATTTAGACATACTTAATTAAAATTACTGTGGACCAAGCCTAAATGTATTTTGCAATAAATTACTAGAACTAGAACTGATTTTAAGGGAAGGAGGAATTTATTAGCTGCCTGTGTTTCAGTTCATTTGTATTCCTGGTCCTTTTCATTTCCTTTTCACTATAAAACATTTCTCAGGCTCAGTGAGCAGATGTGAAATAGGTTCTGTGACTCCTTGTAATTAAAATGGTCAAGATCAGATGGGTTTCTGCAGTAATAGTGGTACAATAAAACCAGGATGTAGCCTGCAGTGGGAATTCTTGTGCTTTTGTTGCTCTCAAAACATTTTCCTCTCAAAATCTAGCTCTGTAGCAAACTATAAACATTCTTCTGCTCCTGAGAGTTATTTGTGAAGAAACTTGGAGTATTTATTGTGTGACAGGGCTGTGCATCTTTGTGTCTGGCTCACAGACCATTTTCACACAGCCGTGATCCAGAATGGGGGCAGCTACAAATATGACGGTTTTCTCTTGCCTACTTTACTTTTCAGATTTTTATTATGTGATTATTGCATTAATTTTCTCTATATATCTGAAATAATTTACCATACAGTTTTGAATATAGTATGAATATATATTTTACTCTTAAAAATCTGAAAATGAGTTATATTTAATAGTAGTTTGTGAGTAGCATGTCAATCAAGCCTTAAATATACCAGTCAAACTCTTCAATAAACCAGTATTATCAGTCAATCTCTTCAATATATTACTATGTTTATATATGATTTTATTTATATTAATATATGAAAATGTAGTAACTTTTTCTATTTATGCTAATGACAGTTTTAATTTACAGTGACTTTGATAGCTGTGATTGCACATAGTTGGGGATGCACTTAACTCCTTGCATACATAAGACTTCCTTTACTATCCAGTGTATGTTATGCACCCTAAACCAAGCACCACTGCATTAAATGATGTTGTTACTGCCGATTTCATTGGTTCTTTTTTCAAGTTTCTCATAATTAAAATATTTTTGAGAATTAAGCCGTGTTCAACAGAAAATAATCCTTTCTGAGCAGTTGATAATTACTAGGAAAGTATATAATAACTGGGAACATATTGGCTTGAAAATGCAATAAACAGGTAAAGACTATTATGTTATTATGTTGAAAATTCAAATAGCATAATTTGTCAGGCATCTTCTGTGAAAATATGACTGAATTGTTAAAAATATTTTCTCAAGGAAAATATAATTTTAATTTCTTATATGTGCTGATAGGAATAATTTTTGGAAAACTAAAAAGAGGACAGAACCCATAGTAAACATAAATGTATACATATATGGATAGATATGTATGTGTGTATATGCACACGTATATATAAAGGTACACATATATGTACTTAACATAGTGAACAGTGTTTTATTTTGAATGTCAGATAAATAAAAAGCAGGATGTTGGTTAAACAATTTATTTTCTGAAGAGGATTGTCTCAGAGCACTTACTAATTTTTTATTTCAAGGTTCCTGTTCATATTCTGGAAACAACATCACAACAACTCAAGGCATGGAATGTCAGGTCAAACTGAAAATAACACTGAAAAGATACCCCAATAGGTAAAATATGTAGTTGTTTATATCAAACTCTCTCTCTGTGTATATGGGATAATGTACATATACCCATATGTATATGGATAAGCAATAAGGAGTGACTAAAATCATCAGATAAACATAGTGAATGCGTATTGTAAACCAGATCAACAGTAAGGAGCAAAAGCAGGTTTTAAATAACCACATGTTGAACAAATTCATATTGGACCTTTTAAAATCAATAACTGTGCTTAAAGTACAGCTATTGTATTTATTTGTGTGCACTTAGAGTGATATAGATGTCTTTTGAAATACTGCTTATTTTTCTTTATCTGTCCTTATATAGGACCACCACAGAACATTTTTTGCTATCTAATGCAACACTGCTGTGCCCCCTTGTTTAACAACTATTCCACCACAAATCTTTGATTATTCTTTTCTTTTTTTTAGTGGTTATTTTAAGAAAATTTCTCAAATCACACAATTTATAGGGAGTTTACCTTTTCCCCCAGAGTTCTCATGTAGGTAATTATTGTAGAGAGTTAACATTCCTGTCCTGAATCTGATTTAATGTACAGATACCGATGCATCATTTAACTATGGCTAGTCACTTTATGAAAGTGTAAAAAAAATTTTACAAGACAGATATTCACTGTGATTCTGCAACAAGGTGTGGTTCAGCTCTAGCTACTCCTGTCCCCAACCACCTGCTCCCAAACCTGAATCAAAGAAATTAAAAGGGTTTTTTTGAGAGTTGAAGTGTTACATGCAGTTCAAATAAAGGTGACAGTCTCAAGCAAAAGAAAGGTTTTATTTCAGCTCTAATCTACTGTTTTATTTGATATCAGAGAAAAAATATTCAGGTCTGTATTCATTATCTTAAATCGGTGTGTGGTTGTTTGTATGTTTGGGATGCTGCCTCTGTAATTGAATTACCAGTCACTTCATCTAGGACTTACTGGGCTCTATTGCACATGGAAATAGCGTCTTCATTACTTAACTACAGAAGGTAAATGTGCTTGCATTTCACTATTAAAAAGAAAGAGTACTTTACCATTTGTGTTTTTAAATGGGCATTATTTTTCCCCAGTGATTCTTCCAATGAAAAAGAATGGGGCAAAATTCAGTAAAATGTTCATATTGACCCTGACTATAAATGTGTAGTCATACAACTCTTAGAAGAGTTTCAAAGCTCAATAAGGGACAGTGGCTAACTGTATGAAATATTCAAAATAGATGTATGAACACATGTTTACTATGCTATCTCACCTATTCAGTTTAATCTCAATTTCAGGTAGTTAATATTGAAAAAACATAATTGATTTGATGCTGCAATTTTTCAGGCTGCCGTGGTTAAAGCTGTCATACCCCTGTAATTTATTCTAGAAGTTTACAAACATGACTTGGGCTATAATAGATGCCTCTGTTTATTACAGGTGGTGTGAACTGATTTTCTTTCATACACTTTGAAGATTACAAACACCAGCTTCTTTCTAAGCACTTGATATGATAGATAATTTAAATAGGAGTCTGCTAGGTAATGTGGAGAGTTTTCTCATCTCTATGCTTTCCGGGCTCGTGTCAGCAACAGGGCGAGAGAGCTCGCAGAACAGTCTTGCAAATGCTTTCCAGCGTGGAGAAGGGATTTGTTTTCTTTGGTTTTCTGCCTCGTGAATGTATTTGGTGGTTGTAGGACTCTGGTTTATATTCATAAAATTAAAAGGCTAATGTGGTTTACCATCCTGTGTAACGTGTATCTAAATTATTTGAATGTATTGCGTTTCCTTGTATATGTGTAAACTATCTCAGAATGTCTGCAAATGTGTGCTGATGAAATAAACTGTACAGCTCTGAACAAGTCAGAGTAATTTGTTCAATAATCTCATAAATCTTTGAAATTGAGGTTGTTGAGGGTTAGCTTGCTCAAAATGTTTCTTTGTGATACTAGCTATGAGTTGTTTTTGACAAAATGTCTCCCATGCCAAAATGCTGATTTATATATTTTTTTTATTTCCCCCTTATATAAATGTAGCAAATTCTGTTACACTGTACTATTACAGTCTCAGAGGGGGTTCTTCATACAAATTTGGGCTCCTGCAAGCAGCAAAATGTTCTGCGTATCTGTACCTTGAGCAGACCTGCTGATATCTGGGAGTTTATTCCAGGTGTAATATTTATAAAGCAGAGTAAATAATTGGCATGGCTTGTGCATACCAAGCACATGCTGAAATAAACTACACCAGTGTTACTTACAGTAAAATCAGAATTGATCCACGCTGGAATTACAGTGGTTAGGAGAATCATACAGGATTGAACACAGTTATTTTATGTGTTGTCCATGTCAGGCAGAGGACCTGAATTTTAACTCTGTCTTTCATTTTCCACTTGAATGCCCTTAGTCCTGGGCCATTTTTTGTTTTGACATGAGAATCTCTTTCTGTCTGTCACCCTTCTTCCTTTTTCCTGCCTGGATTAATTTTTGGTGAAAAAAATCTTAGTAATCCTACATTTTTTCCTGATGCATGAAGGAAGAAAGTAACTTTGAGGTTTTTGGGAGCAGGAAGACAATTTCTTGTCCTTTGTTGTTACAATAAAGCATAGAGGAAAAAGAAAAGTGTTAGGAAAATTCAGTTATATTAATTTAAACAATTGCTCAGTCAACAAATGTTAATTGGTCATATTTATACACAGCTTTAAACTTTTGAAGCCATTTTAAATGAATCCTTGCAAATACATAATTTTATTATATTTAAAGAATAGATGGATTTTAGGGATCAGGAAGACGAGAATATGAGTCACTGTACATTATAAATTGCAGTGTAAGTGTGGTTTTAATTTCACTCATAGCCTTACATCTGCCCCATCTTAAGGTGCTTTCATTTGATGAGAGTGGATCATGCTGAAATTCTGAAAAGTCATGACTGGAAAGTCATGCAGTCCTTTTACTAACTAATCGGATTTGTTGATGTATTCAGCAACCTGATTCCGTGGTGTGGAGTCCAGACCAGTAAGGCCAGGCTGTTTTCACTCAGCCAAATAAATGGTCAAGCTTCCGCCCATGGTAGTAGGAACAAAACCAGATCCAGAAATCAGATTAGTTATTTCTTCTGTATAAATTCTTTTTTTTTCTGTATAAATTTTTCCTGTAAAAATTCTGTATAAATTTTTTAGAATAAATTCTTTTGTATATGAAAAGAGGCAAGGATTAAACAATTCCTAAAAAGGGCAGTAATGTTTGAGCATCTATTGGACCTACAGAATAGTTTCCAAACTTTATGGTACATGCTCATGAACAACCCCATTTTTGTTCGTTTGATTGGTTTGTTGATTTTCTAAATATTGTACACATTTCTTAAGTGTCATGATTCAGTACGGAAACCTTAGAAAAATTGTTAGACCATTTCAACTCAGTATAAATACATTAGCTAAAGAAGGAAAGGTTTGCTCTATGCTTGTGTAAGTGAAGTGAAAAAACAATGCTTATTCCTCTCCTTTGTTTCCATTTGATCATGGTTGTTATTTTTTGGTGAAACCTTTGCATAAATTTGAAATTTTAATATTTTCTTAACTTGTTTTTTACTTGCTGTAAAATGTATTTTAGTTTGATTTCATAGACCTGAGTAGCATACTTCTGCTATAAAAGTAAGCAAGCATCTGTGGGCTGCAAATGCTGATTTTTTTTTTAGCAAGTGGAGCACTTAGTGCTTCTTTGAGCTCATCTCTTTATTTCTGTTTCACTATGGTAAAACTGTGATATATTCTTCAATGTCTCTATTTGTGGAGGCACTTTAAATTCACTTGCAGTTAATTATCTGAAGATGCAGTTTGTGATATTTATGCTATCCTGTGTGACCTCAAAGGGCACCTCCAGAAAATGTGAGTGCCCTGTAAGTTCTATGGCACATCTAGCAGCCTATGAAGGTCCTTCGGATACTCCAGCATCTGAAATAGTGCTTGGTACGTGCACTTAGCAACTTAAATAATTTCCTGAGTTTCATGAGAAAAGAATCAGTCTGTAAGGACCTAGATGACTTTTGGGAACTGACATTTTTATAAGTACTCTTAGAGTTAGTTGTTTTTTGTAGTGGAAAACATGGATCATATCAGGTCATGACTTAGACATCCCAAATAAATACAGGTTCAAGGATGGTATATGTCTGTTCCAACATGTTGAAGAACCTTCAGCATTATTACATCTAGTTTTATCCTTCTGGGGATAAAAAAAAAATGGTTCACTTCAGGATTTTTGTTTTCCTTTCTGTGTGGAACTCTTTCTGGCTTTCTTTTCAACTTGTGAATACGGGTTTCTGTCAGTGTTGTGACTGCTGGCATTACTTTCCATTTCCTGTTATGCAGAATCACGATTTCCTGTGCCAGTGTTTCTGGCTTTATATTACATTCCAGGACCTTGAAGTGTTCAATTTTTGCAGTATTTTGTTGACATCTTGAGATGTGTATGTTGCAATATGTAGAGGCCATTTTCTAAACTAAGTATTGACTGCCTTAACAAACAAACGTATTAGGAAAAATGTTCACTTGGTTTGTTCCTCTCTTCATATAGGTGATAAATTTCAACAATATAGATTTTATTCTGAAGTTTCTTTTTTTCTTCTTTTATTTGTTTGGTGTTTTTTTTCCTTCTTCTTTTCTCGTAGTGCTTAAAACAATTCTCCAAAACGAGTGCTGCTACTACTGGATTATTATAGACTGTGAAAAGTAATTGTGCTAATTATTTAACTGGGACACATTCTGTAGCAAGAAATTTGTGCCTTTAAATTGTCTGATTTACTAAATATCCTTTGAAACTTCCTGAGAAAGCTAGCAATGTTTGCAGGAACATGGTTAACCTAGTCATATCACTACAAATTACTTAGCAACTTTTGTTTAGTGCACTGTAATTTAACTGTATTTGTTTTTGGTCTGATTTTTTTTTCTAGTTTAAGAAAAATTCTGGATTTTTTTCTGTACTTTTTATTTTTCTTCTTTTCATTTCTACCAACCAGTTAAATGTACCAAAAATATCTGTTTCAGGAACCCTAGTTTATCTCATTAGAATTGTCTTCTGGTTTCAAGGTTCAAGTTTAATAACTCCTTGCCCAGTGACTGATTCTATTTGGGATATGGATCCATTGGGTGATAGATGGAAAGTGGTTTTTTTGTTTGCTTGTTTGGTTGGTTTTCTGAATGCTTAAAATACTTGAACTCAAGATATCTCATTTTGTTACAAAGCAGTTTCTTAGCTGTGCATGACACACCCCAAGGAGAGACTGTGTAACTTGACAGGCCAGGAAGAGATGTGCCTCACTATTGATATGCTGTCGGAGAGTTTTGACAAAAAAAAAATCTCATACACTTCAGATTTGTCCTACACATCCTTCCAGACTTTCACGCTAGGAGCAGATATGCACATTTCAGTTTATGTTGTTTCTGCTGTTTCTGGGAATTCCTCATTCTGTAATCCATGGTGGCTTTATATACTTGCTGTGAGTCCATACTAGCTGTGGTGACATCTCCGATTCTCTTCCATAAAGTAGGCCAATACAGACCAGTCCCCAAAGTGGCTTGAAAACTATTGTGTGTAACACTGTCATGCGTACAAACTAGGAACATATAAGAGTCCAGGAATAGGTCAAAGCTGGAGGCATCTGTGTTACCCACACTCAGGGGTGACAATTGGGTGCCTAACAATGAAATTGGTAACAGAACCTAATGGAACAGACATCAAGTCAGCCCAAGAGACAGAAAGCTGCTATTTAGAAGCTTCTAACTGAAATAGTTAAACTAAAACTATTCCTCTCCCTTCTTGGGTGACCAACCACATTCTTGAGGCAGAGGAAATGGGATTAATGGCCAGAAGCTACTTTCTGAGCTGTAGTGGGTTAAAGCACTCTGGTTGTATGGTGCTTTGGATGCTGTGCTGATCTTCCACCTTTCAGCTGGAGTAGTCCAGTGGTGTAGAAACAAGTGAGAGTGTCTGGGCGCTCAGAGCATGGTAGAGAAGAGGAACTGACTTTTTGCCTTATCTTTGGAACAAGTTGGGGCCAAGGTGAGAAGGGTATTTTTTAACATGTGAAAAGAGAAGCAGTTACACAATCAGGTCTCCTTTTTTTCTGGGATGTGCTAACCTCAGGGTTTCTCATTAGATTGAAGTTCTTGATCTTAATTTGTACTAGTAAACCTGTAGTTTTGAACCTGATATTGTAGCTGAAAACACGTTTTTTGGCCTCCCCTAGGAGGAATTGCAATGTAGTTTTTTTGAGTTAGTTCATTGTTACCCTGGAGTTACAGCTGGTATTTGCTGTTATATATTTTGGGTGGCTGCTAAGACTGTATTTTGAGTTGCACTGACCATGAGCAACACAGTACTTGCTATTCCCATGGCTCTAGTCACTTCATTGTTTCTAGATTACATTCAGGGCAGGGAGTTTAATCTATAGAGTTCTGCATATGTTTAGTTCTGGCTATGTAGATAGAGCTACATAGCTACATAGCTCATTTCTTCTTGTTTAGCTGTTAGAGCAGCTACATTTTTGGACACTTAAGCTAACGGGCACTAGATTTAAAGATGAGAAAGCTGTTGACGGGATGTTTTCTATGATGGATGCACAACTTTCAATGTGCTTTTTATGATCTCTCTGACAGTCTCTTTCATCCAAAGTATTTGCTGAAAGAGCTGGTTGGAAAATGAGAAAAGGAATTATTTTTAGGAATTTTATTTTCCTTTTGGTCCTCAGATAAAA